ATAAACAAGGCCGCTGTGTGGAGAAACAAGTTTGTTCATTTGAATTTCAAGTTCAAAGTTTAATTGAAACTTCAGTTACTACCTTCCATTCTCTAGCATTCTTTTTCCCATTTCTCATTGACATTTTTAATTATATAGATTAATACTTTAAATTTAAAATAAATCAATACATATAGATTTAATGTGAAATTTTTTTTTTTTTTACAGTTTTAAATTATAATTAAAAATCTTTTTCAAAATAATTTGAAAAATTCTTGTTATAAATTATTAAATAACAATATATAAAATATATTTTAAATAAAGTTAAAGTAGAAAATGAAACTAATTTTCAATATCATTACACAAAAAAACAAAAAATATTTTTAGAGACGAAATAAAAATAAAACCCAAATTTACCCAATAAAACCCAAAATTACCCAAAAAAACCCACTGGGCCGGGTTTTTTTTAAAAAAAACCCGGGTTTTTGCCAACCCTGTATTTATGTAACATGAAAATTATTTATGGATTAAGTATCAATTTGCTAAATAACTTTATTAAAATCATTATTATAATATATTAGAATATGAAGCAACTAATGCTTTATTGAATTTCTGTAATACTGCTAGTTAGTTGTTGACATATGTTATTAACATTTATGCTTTTCACATATTTTACTGAAGCTTCTTTTTTATCAACCTGATGATAAATCACTATATAAAATAGGTAACTATTGTTTTTTAATTTAGGTCTACCTTTAAGTGAAATTACTTCAAAACGATCAACACAAATAGTTCAATTATCACCAAAAGAAATTGAGGGAATGAGAGTCGTCTGCAAGGTATTCATTTAGATTCTAAAATAAAAATTAATAAAATTTTTATAAAAAAATTCTTTTAGAAGAGTATAAAAATGTTAACATAAAAAAAAGTTAATTTTAATGCGAGTGCGGTTGCACGCCTTTTAAGTTTTATAAGTTAAAAGATGCAAACTGACCATGGCAGTTTGCATCTTTTAACTTATAAAACGTTTCAATAATACTAAACTTATTTACTAAGATAAAAAAACAATCCTAACAAAAAAGAAAGTGACTGAAAAATGTCAGTTTAAAAAAATAATGTTGTCAGAATCACTATATGAATGCTATTAAAGACTGTATAGTACAAACAATTACAATCTGACTTAGTGATGTTAGATAAAGAAAATGCAATAGAAATGTAGTAATTTAAAATTCTGGTTTTTAGTGTTTCAATTCATTTTAATTTTGAATTAATTTTTTTTAATATTTCAAGCTTTTATTCTATGGTTTAACAAACTGCATGAACGGTTTGATTTTACTTTTAATTTCTATTTTTGAGTTATGTCTAACCTTGTTTATAGTTTTTTGTGTTTAGTCTTGTTATATTTAGTCAGGGGTAGGGGTGATGTCTAATTGTATTTTTTATTTTACCTAGCATTCAAAAGTGATTTTGCTTTTGCTTGTTTGCTCTTTTATACTTGGGTTTTGAGAGTTTCTGTTTTTTGTTTTAACTGTGTTGGGTTCTAGCCTAGCTTTGTTTTAGTGGTCTTGTCGTTAGTGTGAATTTCGCATTTAATTTTCTAGATTTTTTATTATTTTTGTTTTTACTGCAGATTACCTACATCAAGTGTAACAAAATTATTATATAATTTCAAAAGAACAATGTTTTACTTTAAAAATATTTTTAAGCAAAAAAGTTAATAAAAAAAATCATTTTATCATACTATAGAAGAAGGAGCAGAAAGGGAATACATGCTGTGGGCGCAAAAATATTAAGGGTGCAGGAAAACAAAGAACAAAAATATCATCAATAAAAATTTTTTTTTTTACAAAAAAGTAAAAAAAATTGTTTTTATTGATGAGGCTTAAAATAAATTTACTTGGTGATGTGCATTACAAATAACTTGCTTTGTTTATTTTATCAAAGAATTTTAGTTTAAATAATTCATTTCTTTAATAAATTATTTAAAAAATAAATTATTTAAAACTATAATATAACCATCAGGTTATGTCACAAAGAACTGTTGTTAAAGAAATTAGAAAGTTGTTTAAAACCAAGTTAAAAAACACTGGTGCGTTTACGCTTTCTCATCAAAATTTAAAAATGACCCTGTCTAAAACCCCAATCAGTCAAAGATTACCCAGAATGTCAGCATTTATTTAAAAACTATGTTGCTAACTGTTAGAATAAATTAGCGCATGATGTAATTGATCCTAGTGCTAATCCTTATATATATATATGTATTTATATAAAAATATATATATATATATATATATATATATATATATATATATATATATATATATATATATATATACACACACACACTTACTAAAGCGTATTTTTATAAGCATTGGCTCACTTCTTTTGCTTACCTTATTCCATTCGGCTTTTTTAGAAAAAGAAAAAAAAAAATGAAGAATGATGAATGAAACGATTGCTGCCCCATCCCAAACCCTCAGTCGATGTAGCAGCACTCCACTGCGAGTCAGGCTATTTGTCAGTCGATGTATGTACTGAAGCCCCCAGCAGCATTTCAGTATGACATCATATTGCTTACTTTAGTGCGCAATACTATTTGTATATATATATATATATAAGTGTATATATATATAAGTGTATATATATATAAGTGTATGTATGTATATATATATATATATATATATATATATATATATATATATATATATATATATACATATATATATATATATATATATATACACACTACTGGTCTAAAGTTTGGGTTCACTTGCTTTATTTTTCAACCTAATTTTCTTTAAATATTGAAGCTCCTAAAAACTAACGTAACATTAATTTAAGGAATTTATTTTTGATTATAATAAGAATCATGATTATAATAAGATTTACATATCTTTTTGTGTACATAGAGTGTAGGTTTATCATCATTGCAATAATGAATACTTTAAGTATATTTTACTTTAATATTTGGTTATATTTTTCTGTGATAATTGGATATATTTTGCTGTAAAACTAACTTAATTAACTTTTTTTTTGCTGTTGTGCAAATTTGTCAGTTTTTAAAGTAAAAGAAATCGTACTTGAACAGCTCCCGAAATTTTCAGAGAACTTAGTTCTATGCGAGAAACACCAGTATCAACCGTAAAATGATGACTTTGCAATTACGGTTTGAAAGATGCGTTGCTGACATAAAATCATTACAACTTAAGCTAAATAAAATTAAAATGAGTTAAAAAATATAGTGATTGGCCAATTCAACATTGGTCTCAAGTCTTGTTTACTGATGAATCAAAGTTTGAAATTTTTAGGAGGAAATTGTTGACAAAATGTTTGTGGTTTAATTGGAGAATGGATGATAAAACAATGCATGATCCTAATAGTCAAGCATGGTGGTTTGTGGGATGATTTAGATTGAGAAGTTAGAAAAATGCAACTAACCAATAAAAAAAAACCTTTAGCTACTCATACAAACATGCTGGAATCAAATATTAACTGAATCATTGCAGAAATTGATTGTAAAAATGCACATAGTATGTGCTGCTGTTGTAAAATAAACTTCGAAAAATCTAAAAAAATACTAAAATATTTTTAAAAATGTCTTGAAAGTCTATTTTAAAAAAAAATTATTGAAAATATACTTAATGATCCACAAAGTAATCTCCTATTTTGCTCGAAATAATTATTTTATCATAAATAATATAAATAAGCACCATTTCAATTTTTTGCTTATATTAATTAAAACTTTTATCTAATGGAGATTGTGATGCTTATGCATTCTGTTTTGCTTTAGGTATACTTTAATAGTTATGTACTTTAATACTTTAAAATTACTGTTGACTATGATTTGTGTATAAGCATTTTTTCCTTAAAATATTTTATTCTGTTTTTTTATAATACAAAATAACCTACTTTCCACCAAAAAGTTGCATTCTAAGAAGAGTATTGATTAGTATATACAAAAAAAGGAGAAACAAAAGGCTGTGAATTGAATTTACAGCATTCATAAACAATGCAACTAGATTGCACATCAGTTTTTCTTTAATTTAATTACTTATCCTCCTTTACACAAAAAAATTTTTCAATAGAAATATTTCATATTTCTCAGTTGGCTTTCATTGCTCAGTTTAGTTTAAGTACCACAGATTACCTGCATCAAATATTGCAAAATTATTATAATTATTTTTATAGATATTTATATATTTATACTTTCCCAAAACTAATAAAATATTAAATCATAAAAGCTATAAAGCTTAGGAAAGATTCAAAAATAATGTTGCTTTCAAAAAGCTTAGGAAAGCTTTCAAAAATAATGTTGCCATTTCTTTTAAACTTAAAATTGAAAACAAAACTACAGCTGACGAAAGCTCATAATTACAAGTTTCCATATTTTTGGTTTCAAAAGTTTTGGATATTTTTTTAATTTTTATTTAGCTATATGGTTACAAAATTTTGTTATACACATCAGATCATTTTTTATATAAATATAAAATATTCCATTGTGCAAAAATTTTTATATATTCCTAATGAAAACACATTAAAAACAGGTGAGTAATTTTCCTTACTCAACTTTATATATTAAGTATATAAAATTATACAATTATTTCTTTATATGATTTATATTTAACTTATAATATTTTACTAATGAAAACACAGTAAAAACAGGTTAATAATTTTCCATACTCATCGTAGTATAAAGATTGCAAAAATGATATTTTTTATGCAATCATTCTCAAAGCAAGAAAGGAACAATAACTTCAAGATTCATATAAGTATAATATTATTTGTTATTTTAGCTGGCACGCGAAGTTTTGGACATTGTAGCAAAAGCTGTTCGTCCTGGGATTACTACAGATGAGCTGGACAGAATATGCCATGAGGTTTCTTTATAATTAATATCTTTATATCTGATTTACAATTTTTTATCTACTTTAGTTTTTTAGGTTTTTCTTTTTTTGAATGTGTTATTATATTTAAATGTTCTATTTTAGATTCTATTCTAAAAACATTCTAAAAAATTATCTATAGAAAATGTTCTTTTAGAAATAGAGTAGATTCATTTAAATTCTAAAATATTTAAACAAACACAAAACTGTGTATATCCACACTAGCACAAAACTTCGTATATTTACACTAGCACAAAACTGTGTATGTTCACACTAGCACAAAACTTCGTATATTTACACTATTGAACACTTTTGAAATTAAATTTCAAAAATGTTCAATTGCAAAGTGAAGAGTTTGGTATAGAAAGTTGCAAAAAAGTGAAGAGTTTGGTAAGGAAAGTTGAAAAAAAGTGAAGAGTTTGGTAAGGAAGGTTGCAAAAAAATGAAACATAATGTCATAAAACTATTATCAAAGTCATAAAAAACTTTATCACAGAATATTATGAAACTTATTTTATACAAACAAAAAGACAGATTGAAAACAATAATACCAGGGTTCGTATTAAATGGTAGCGAATTGTGATCTGGAAAATGCTTCCGGAAAATGCTTCCGGTCTTTAAATTTTTAGCTTTTTAAAAACTGTAAAACTGTTTTGATCTCTAAACTCAATAGCTGTTATTCAATAAAAAATATTTATGTTGATCTTGAATTATGGTATGAAATTTTATTGTAAAACCATATTATTACTATTATTTTTATTATTAAAGATTATGATTTAAACTTTAATACTTTAATTCATTTTATAAATCATCAGGTAAAACTAGAAAAAAACAACCGCTTATTGCAACAGTCTAATGGAATTTAGCGGTGATCAAATATTTTAAATAAAAGAAATCATTAAATAAAATATAAAATAATTTTATATCTTATTTAAATCTTATTCAATATTTTCTTATAAATTAAATGCTCGTAACTCTAAAAGGTTTTGGGTTTATGTTTTTAATTATAATTACTTTCCAAGTACTTATAACTACTCAAAATCTTGAGTAGTCAAAATTTTTAGTTAACCCTAAACAAGCAGCTATAAATTTTATGAATCAACTAAAAAAAAATTATTTTTAATTACTGAATTTTATTGTTATATTATTTTTAGGCAACTATAGAAAGAAATTGTTACCCCTCTCCTTTGAATTACTATCAATTTCCTAAAAGTTGCTGCACGTAAGTTACCATTATTTTGTTTGACAATTTTATTTATTTTATTTTAATTGTGTTTATCCTATTATTGTGTTGTGTTTGTTTGTGACATTTATATTAAATGTGTTTGTTTTTTTACACAAAATTTATTGCTATGATGTTCATAACGTAGTTAAACTTGATAATATATGAAAGATTTTTTGCTATGGTGGTGTAGTGGTCGAGCGCCAGCTTAATAAACCAGTTGTTCCGAGTTCGTTTAATCACAAATAAGTTGATCTCTGTACTACCATGGGCGTTCACCTTGTCCCTGGTAGTACAGCGCTCAACTTGTTTCTCTGTACAGCATTCTCAATTGTCAAAATTCATGTTTCTTTTTTTTTTTAAAAAAAGTTTTTGTTTAATATTAATATATCATAACTTTTTGTAAAGACTAAAAAGTAGAAAATAAAATATAACAAAAACATTTCCTCAAAAATATAATCTTTTTTTGTACTAAAAAGTAGAAAATAAACTTAATTTTATTTTAATAGTTCAGGAAACTAAAGGTTCACAGGTATGTTTTTATATAAACCTTGCGCAGACCTGTCAATCTTAAGTTTACTGAACTATGAAATTAAAATTAAAAAGTTTATTTTCTACTTTTTAGTACAAAAAAGATTATATTTTTGAGCAAATGTTTTTGCTGTATTTTGTCAATTTTTTGATTGAATTTTGGTAAATTGTTTAGGTTTTTTAAAAATTTTCCAACAAATATAAATATATTTTACCTTTATTTTTCACTAAAATTGTTTAAATCTTTATGATCAAGTTGTTTATATACTAATTTTTATTTCAACACACAATTTTTTCAAATTATTACAAAGGGTAGTAGTACAAAGGGTAGGCATTATTTGTATGCACATTCAACAAATTTTCTCTTATTTGTAGATGCTTATTTAAGCATAAGTTATTATTGATTGTTTCGACTATTTCACCTAAAAATCTAGTGTAATTTAATTTTATAATTTTTTTTATATAATTTAAATTAATTTATAAACCCTATTTAAATAAATATTGAAATACTTATATATAAAAGAACGCCTTCCAAAACCTAAATCCTCTCTCAATGTATGTACACTCCACTGTGCCTATCCCTATTTAAGTGAGTCAATGTATGTATTAATAGTGAAGTGCACTGTGACTATATCAGTTGATTTATGCTTGATGTGCGCATTGATGCACTTATTCTATGAAACTTTGAAAGATAAAAATTATTAACATAGCTATAATTAAACAACAGTAATAGTTAAAAAACATAAAACTACTTTGTAATTAAACATTAAAGATAAAAAAAGTTCTATAAGGTTAAGAACCTTAACCTTCTCGTCAGCTGTGGCTCAAAGCATTAACATTCACAGGACTACATGAAAAAAATTTAAACATTTTTTATGTACAAATGTTTCCACTGTGGGCACATTATTTGTACGCATGTACAAACAATGATTTTTATTACAAAGTATTTTTACTTAATGGAGTTCAATTTTCATTATTTTTCAAAAATCATTATTTTTTAGATGTTTTTTTTAGATAATAACTGATTAGTTAAATAGTTAATCAGTTTTTTACAAATTTTAACTTTAGTTCTGTAAATGAAGTAGTCTGTCACGGAATCCCTGACCAACGTAAATTAGAGGAGGGAGATATTGTTAACTGTGAGTGATATTTTTAATTTTATGGTGATATAGGAGTATGGTTAAAGGTTTTACAAAGTTTATTTTTTATCATTTAGTGGATGTTACTTGTTATTACAATGGCTTCCATGGAGATCTCAATGAAACTTTGTTTGTGGGAAATGTTGATGAAAGTTCAAAACATTTAGTGAAAACAGCTTATGAGAGTTTGATAGCTGCTGCAAATAATAGTTAACTAAATTATTCTTTTTACTTTTTAGAAATATTTTTATATTAATCAAGTTAGATTTATATTGGTGCTTTAATTTATGTTTTAGTAAAACCTGGAGCAAGATACAGAGATATGGGTCAACATATACAAAACGTTGCTCATGCTAATGGGTGTGCTGTCACACGAACCTACTGTGGCCATGGAATTCACCAGTAATGTAGTTGCCATTTGTTAATTTTTTCAAATTTTTCAAAGTAAAAACACTTTTAGATATTATTTTGATACAGTAATTGTTCTTATAGATAAAAGTTCCTTTTTGTTGCTCTCAGGTTATTCCACACTGCACCTAATGTACCACATTATGCAAGTAAGTTTATATAAGCAAGAGGTTACTAAAGAAGAATGGTAATTATAACTTCTCCCAGCCATTCAGCTTTTTTTAAACTGTAAACATTTTTTAATTTTCATACTATTATTTAGGTTGTATTTTTATTTAAATTGTATATTTATTTAGACTGTAGGCTTAACAAATTGTTTATTTCAAGGAGCTTTAATAAGCAGGAGATGCTGTTGTATATACTTGATATAAAATGTGCTGAAGCCAGTTTTGAAAGTCAGCCGCTTCCTAGGTTAACCCAAAGCATTGGTATGTTTTGCGTGGAACTTGTTATTTTTAGTAGAAAACTTTGCTGAAATCATTGATATAGTTATATAGTCAAAGCATTAATATAGTTATATGGTTGAATAATTTGCCAATTACATTTTACTACAAAGAATTGTTTGCTAAATGATTATCGGGTTCAGTTCATTCTAAAATATTGGAATACTGAAGTAGACATTCAGATAGTCAACGTGCTATTAGTAGATACTATATTTTACACAGTGTGAACATCTTATGGAACAAAAACAAATATTTGTGAGTTTTTTAAAATTAAATCTAAACATAAATAAAAACAAATATATTAAATATATCTATCTTTCTTTGTTATGTATATATACATATATATATATATATATATATATATATATATATATATATATATATATATATATATATATATATATATATATATATATATATATATATATATATATATATATATATATATATATATGTATTGCAACCCTTGGATCAGCATTTGGTAATGCCGAACTAATTGCTGACCTTAAAGTGTTTGAGTGTCATATTTTTTTTGACGACCTAATGGCAACCTTTAATAGTTTTAGATCGGCAATTTACCACATTTTTTTCTAATCTAGGTTCAGTTCTAAGAACAGTTAAAGATTTCTGTCTTAGTTGATAAAACTTTGTATAAAATAAATAATCTATAAGTGATTTTTACTAATTTATTATTGCTCTGTTTTTTTAAGAACACTCTATTTTGTAGAATAAATTTTATATATATATATATATATATATATATATATATATATATATATATATATATATATATATATATATATATATATATGTAAAACACATGTAAATATATATTTATTAATTGCTTAAATATATGTAAAAATTCACAAACATTACTACAAACAATTATTTTTATTTCTTCAAGAATCTTTTATACTTTCTGAAATACAATATCTTTTAGGATCATGTTGAAATACAGGTATCTAATAACTATTTTAGTATTCCAAATGTTATCAGAATTAAATAAGGCAATCAGTTAGCAAATAATTCTTTACAAGATACTATAAGCTACCAAATATAAACTGATGAATAATTCAATCATTTGATGCAACCTTTTGACTTGGGTTTAATAAAGTTTTCAGTAAAATTTTAAGTTCCATGATATGTTTTGGGTTAACCAAGATGGTGGTCATTTTTAAAACTGGCTTCTAAAAAGTCATGTGACACAATCTCTTATTTATTAAAACTCCTCAGTTTGTTTAATATCATATTAAGGTTATTAATTTTAAATTTTAAATATATTTTTTGTTGGGGTGTTTACCAGTGCATTGTGGGCCAGTAAGTGAAAAAAAAGGAAAAAATATTATTATTACAATCTCTGCAACTTATCAAGAAATTTTTTAAACCTTTTTGTTTTAAATATTAAACTTAGACTTAAATAAAAAACAATCTTAGTATTTCTAAATTTTACTGAAGATATATTCAAATATTTTTTTTACTGAATTTACCTCACTATGACTAAGGAAGCTACTCTTTTAATTGCTTCAACCCTCTTTCAACTCTTTAGCTCCAAAACACAAGCCTTGACAAGTAAGGTCATGGTGCTGAGAACTTAGTTAAGCACAGTGCCACCAGTTTGTGCTAGGGTTTCTCAAATGGGAACCCGTTTTCCCAGGATCTCGGGAGTGAAAGTGACAGCGGGATTTCCCAAGTTAGGGCTAATATTTCCCCAGATATATATCTCTTCTTAAATAACACAAAATTTTTTAACAAGTATTATTTTTTCAAAAATTAAGAAAATGTTTTTTTTGTTTGTATAAAATCAGAGTTGGAAAACATTTCTTGATTTTGAACGCATGTTTTGTTTGAGTTTTATAATTTCAAATAATTGTAAACGTTTTGTTGTATTGTATTATTAAAAGATTAAATATTTTATGTATTATAATAACTGTAACCAAGGGTATATAACTGTATGTTTATACACCCTTGGTTATATATATAAAATGTAATTTTTATTTTATTTTTTTTGGTCATGTTTTGTATCTAATTTACTAGTTATCTTTTAGTTATTTTACGATTCAATAGCTATACTATTTGATATTAAGTGATCTGAAATTATTATCTGAAAGCATGGCAATATTTTTGTAAAGAAAAATCTGGCAAATCTGCCACTTGCAAAAAGTGTTGTGTAAAAATAATGTGCAAAGGATTTTCTACAAGCAGGCTCTTTTGTCATTTAAAAAACTCACACAAAGAAATAGATTTAGATATGAAGCGTCCACGTGAAGGCGCTGGGTTGGAAATTGGAAATGTGCACACATCGCAACATTTGTTAAATAGCAGGCTGTTGATGAAATTGTGTCAAAGCTAGCAACGGTGGGCGACTTTTCCATAATAAAAAGTGAACTCATTAGAAAATCATTGTCAGAAAAAGGCATGGTATTACCTAAAAATTCATCTTATGTGATCCAAATCCAAAAAAAAGATCAACCCCATATGATAAAAAAAGACAATAGGATGTAGCCAAACAAAATCTGATTTTGGAAATAGCAAAAAAATATATCTAGCGTGTCACGTTTATCATTAGACTTTATGTTTAGATGAATATACATCTTTAAGAAATCCATCCAACTCGAGCTCTTTAACTATTTGAATATTGAATAAAAAAATATGAAAATATTTGAATACTTGAATAGTTTATCTAAAGTGAAAAAACAAAAATGAAAAATAATAATAGTTCAATAAAAAAACATTTAATAAAGAATTTGGAATGATTCTATTACTATAAAATTATACTATTACCTTATGTTATGCCACAACAAATTGTATTTTTTAGGCCTTTGTAAAAATATTTAGAATTATTTTTTTTTTTTTTATTTTCGTTTTTTTTTTTAAAATTCTTTATAATAATAATATATTCATTTAATTCTAATATTTACATTCTATTTTGCTGCAAAACTCTCTTCTATTTTTTCTTTTCATTTTGGAATTTAGTCTTTTCATTCTAAAAATTATTTGAATATTTCGAAAAAAAATTTTGAATATCAAATAGTCAAAAAACACCCAGTATACTCAAATATTGATTATGCTACTCTAATTGATCCAGAAGGTGTATTGATATTGATCATAGGCCATTTGGTATAGATAAATAATTTTAATAAATAATAAACTGCTTTAATCTGTGCAGCAGAGAATTGAAGAATACAGAAATATCAATTTAATTGGATAACTAAATTTTTTACATAACCCATTCACTTATAATCACGAATCAAATATCAATTCAAAATTAATCTTACCCTTAAAACATTTATTAAATGCAGCAGTGAAAAAAATTTACACCAGGTTATACATTGAAGATGCAAGCAATAATGGAATAGTCAACGAGAGTCGTCATAATGAAAGCGGCTTTTCTTCAAACCTTAACCAGTTGATGCTACATTAGACAAAAGTATTTTGACACTTAAAGAAAAGTTGGATGTTATTATTTGTAAAGTCAAACGAGTAGAAACAGGTAGTCTTGAAAACTCTTACAATTTAAAAAACCTCATAAATGAAATTAATATTTTCAAGACTGGAAAGTGTAAGGTTTAGACAATCTATACTCAGCATCAATGGCCATCAAGCCAACATTGGATGAATCAGAAAGAGCTTTTTCTGCAGCAAGACTGTTTATGGGGAAAATTCATTTAGGGTTAAGTGATAAATCAATTGATTGTTTATGCTTTTTAAAACATTTTTTTAATTCAAAAAATAATTTAGATTAGTGTGCTAACATAAGTTTGTGCTTTAAACCGCTTGTTTGTTATTATATTTAAATTATGATTTTAGACAAAATAAGATAAAAATAATAACGAGATCCCAGGAAGAGATCTCCAACTAGTGCATTATTAAATTAGAAATAATTAATGCGAAGATTCAAACTATATTATCTTTAACAATCCTAATGTTATTGAGTGTGTGGTGTCTCTCTAAAAAATATAAAGTTCGATTTTTATTGCTTCAATAGTTTAAGTTTTAGTAAAACCTGGAGCAAGATACAGGAATAATGGTCAGTAGATACAAATGTTACTCATGTTTATTGCTTGATTAAATTGTTTGTTTAGTAGGCAAATATGAGTCACTAAAAAAGTTTCTAAAAAAAATAACTGTAAAACAGAAAAATATTATAAATAAAACCTGAATAAACTATTCAGGTTTCATTTACATTCAATACATTCAGCACAGATATCTACTATCATCAGCATATCAGCACAGATATCTATTATCATCAGCATATTAGCACAGATATCTACTATCATCAGCATATTAGCACAGATATCTACTAGCATCAGCATATCAGCACAGATATCTACTAGCATCAGCATATCAGCACAAATATCTACTATTATATACTATATTGTAACAGATTATTAACTTTTCTCTGGGATTTTCTACAAGGCTCAAAAGCTTTCTCAAGTTGCTCAATTACTAAAAAAGACAAAATCTTAGCTAAAATAGAGTAATGCTGCTACATCAATCTGCAGCATTAAAGGTAATAAACGAATTAAAATACCCAGTAGCACTGCCCTCTTGATCAAAATAGTTTTTTTAATTCAAAAGCACTTGAAATAAAAATAATGGACAGTGGAATGTTTGGAGAAAAAAAAGAAATTGGCAATAGAATGCTTTGACTACCAATAACTAGTGGAAATTGTGTTTTTGTTGTTGTTGTTTTTTTTTAGCATGACATTTTAAAAGAGGTTTCAGGGTGTCAATTTCTAATCATCTTAAAGTCTACTTTTGTCATTATTAGAAATCTTCCATGGCAGAGCCTTGTTTTAGTTTTAATCTATCTGCACAATAGGCCAGCATAAAATTGCTAAAGCTTTCAACATTAAGTTTGATTAAAATTTTTTGCTACATTTCCACATTCTTGTGGAAATAAATTACCTACAACACAATATACTGTAAATAGTCATTGTGGTACCAAAATTCATTGACATCCATCATCTTAACCTGTTTATTTTTTAAATGGTCCAGATACAATATTATCTAGGGGTTTTAGTTTGTGGCTGTAATGAGGATGAAATGAACTAACCAGCACCCCATTTTCTTTGAAGTGTTCTAAAGCTTCTATTGAAAGGTGAGATTCATGATTGTCTAAAACTGGAAAAAATGCAAAAAGTGAACTTCTGTCATCCAATCATTACCTGCTTCATCAGAAGCACCATTTTAAAAAATACCCTTTAAACATCGTGGAAATATAAAAAAAATGGAAGAATTGAAGAATTTCCATTGGCAGATACAGAAACTAACACAGTTACTATATTGCCTATCTTTAAAAGTAACAACCAATTTTTTTAAAGCCTTTTTGTGCTACAGTTTGAACTGTGATAATACCAGTTTCATCCATATTCCAAATATCTCTACTTTCCAGCTTTAAAGGATTGAGAATAGTTTGTAAATTAAAACTTTCACTTGTTTGTTGGATTTACTTACTTTAAATTTTCTTATTCACAGCTTGAGGTAAACAGTGAACTAATCTTTCCCTGATGCTTTATTTTGACTTCAATTATGCAGTACTTTTATGTTATTTGCTTTTCAATACTGAAAAGATAGTTTCCCTTCTTCCTTAGTAGATAGTCTATGATAAATATCAGAAGTTTTTGTGACATTCCAACAGTTGTAATTTCTTGTAAATCAGTAAAGACCTGATTTTTGCTGGTTGTTGCTTTTTGTAGTATCAGAACAATTTTCTTTTAGGGAAGTCTATAACTAGTTTATATTAGTTTATATTATATTTATATTAGTTTAGGGAAGTTGTATCTGCTTATGGTATAGATCTTCTTTTTAATAAAGCTCCATCAATAGCATTTTTTATGACATTTTTAGGAGTTATAATCCTGTCTGTTTTTCATTTATAGTTTCACAAGTGTGTAGTTTTAGAGTTGAAAATTTGGAATCTGGTTTGTTGAAAATGTATGGCTGCAAAATTTTTTGACAACTAATCCCAACAGTTATTTGGTAACAAACGCCCCTAGAGATCTCTGGAAGAAGAAGAAAAAAAAGAAAATATGTTTGAATAAAGCATGCAAGATATAAGTTTACACCTACTTGGTGCTATTGCTTTTTTGAATATTTTGTTGACACTACTTTTTATATTACAGTAGGCGGTAATAAAGATAGTAAGAATATTAAGTGATGCTAATCATTTTTTATCAGGCTCTTCAAAATATCATTAGTGAATATATTGTTGCCATAAGGATGGAGTTTCACCTACATTAGTCCTCTACTTTATTTTTATTGTTGGATCTTACAGCATCAAGATTTTTATTATCTTTCTGCCCCGTTTGATTTATATATATGTATATATATATATATATATATATATATATATATATATATATATATATATATATATATATATATATATATATGTATATGTATATATATATATATATATATATATATATATATATATATATATATATATATATATATATATATATATATATATATATACAAAGACAAAGTAATTGAATATAAACATATCTTATTTTCATTAATTTAATACTTTGTTTTATTTCGCTTGGGCTTGACAGCTTGGTCTCGTCCTTTGATGCGTATTTTTGAATTTTTTTAAAAAAAGTTTATTTTAATGACTTAAAAAAAAACATTCAAAAAAAAATGAATGAAACGAATCGTGATAATCAAAAAGGATTTCTACTTTTGTTTTCACTCATCTTTTCTATTTTACTGTTACTGTAAAACATTGTTTTAAATTATTATAGAAAATAAAGCTGTTGGTATTATGAAACCGGGTCACGTGTTTACAATTGAACCTATGATAAATCAAGGTAAAAATACTATTATAATGTTTGAAAAATATTTATGATTGTCATAGTTTTTAACTTTTTTGTTATAAAAGTTTTACTTTGTTATAAAAGTTGTTTTATCGTCTAAAATTTAGTATCATGTTAGAGAGATTATAATATATTAATCCGTATTTGGATTAAGACGTCATTTTTAGGGATTTCGCAAAATGTTGACATTATTTACTAATCTTATAATGAAATATCAGCGTGCAAATAGTAAATGACAGTTTAGTTCTTTAATTGCAGGTTTGCAATGCAGTTCTTAATAGTTAAGACAACTCCAGAAAATAATTTATTATGTATTTTTCTGTATATTTGGCATTTTTTCTGAATGACTTGAGAAAATGTCGATACGCGAAAGGTTTTTGTGCATATCGAAAAGTTCTTTTTTTGGCTCTATTGATCCTAAACTACTAGTATCGGTATACAGAGTGGCTGTCGTGTTCGATCTTCTTTTAGTTGTTACTTTTTCTTTACTAAAACATGGTAATAGTTTTTTCATAAACCCTCGAAGTTCTGTGTTTGTTGTTGTATATATTATTGGATTTAAAATAGACTGTACAAAAGTTAGCAAGTATAAAGAATATGCATATTTAATGTTGTTATAATTAAAATCTTCATTACTTACTGCTTCTACCAATAATAAAATTGCGTAAGGCAGATTGCAAATAATACATGTAACGACAATTAGAAATGTTGTGCGAACAGCCTTTGGACTCCATATGTTTCCCGTGAACTTTTTACTTTTTGGTTTGCCTTTGTTTGATAATTTATCATCTTTAACGTTATTTTTAACTTCCAAGTTACTTATAGACGAAGTAATTTTAATTTCGCTTAAATGTGTCAAAGCCCTTAATCGGCTGTAATGTTGGGATGCCATCTGCAATATTTGTATATTGAAACAACATGTAACGATTATCGGCATAATCATAATGCCAATAGATATCCATAACAAGAACTCTTTTTTTACTATTCGAGTCATCATGCATTTTTCAAATTCCTTACTGGGTAATTTACTATTTACAAATACCATTCCCGTAGCAATGGGTAAAAGTGTAGCAAACGCACTTCCCCATACAAGTAGGATGTAAAATGTAACTCTGTGTTTACTCATTTGATACACATAACCCAGGGGCTCTCGTATGTATAGGTATCTATCCAATGATAACAAGCACACAGTTCCTATAGACAGGCTGTAACCTAGAGCCACAATCGCTAATGTTACCTGACAGTATATAAACTGTTCGGTTACAAGAAGCACGATGCTTGTAAAAGTAGCAATCATTGAAACGACAATGTCGCTAACAGCTAAATGTGCATATAGAAAATACGTACAAGTTCGTAAGTCTTGGTTTTTTAATATTACAACGATAACTAAAATATTAAGTATCATTCCTATTGGACTAAAGATTGTCAACACAGCTATATTTATGAGTTTTAAAGTTGACATAGTTGAAATTGGCTTCATAGTTTTTTATTTAAATCAATATATAATTAAAAGTAGCTTTTAAAATAATATTTTTAGTGTCGAAGTTTTCTTTGCGCTTTAATGCTTTGATTCGATTATAGTTGTGTGTATGTGTACATCGTATGCTGTTAAGTGATCAGAATGTTTATACAGCTTGTGAATTAATTCTATTCTTTCCAAAATGCATTTTCCAGGCTTGTTTGTTTTGTACTAAAATATATAAATATTTAGTTAATGTTTTATTTATATTAAATAGATTTGAACAAATATATCGAATATGTTAAACAAATATTTTAAAATAAGTCTTTTTATTGTTATTAATTAAAAATATCTGGCTGTTACTTTTCGCATTATTTTTATTTTAAAATTAGTTTTTGAATACAAAATATTTTTAGGTACTTGGCGAGATTTGCTGTGGCCTGACAACTGGACCGCAGTTACCCAGGTATTGACCTTTTTTTTTATCTATCGGAACAAGTTTCCCAATAGAAATAAAGCAAAGTTTTTATTTATTTAGGATGGCCGAAGGTCAGCTCAATTCGAACAAACGTATCTTGTAACTGAAACAGGGTTTGAAATTCTCACTGCTCGTAAAAATAATAGACCATACTTTTTAGATCAACTTGATGAAATACCGATTTGAATAAACATTTTCTATTGGTTTTATTTTACAAAAAATTGTCGAGGTTTTTCCGCCGGTTTCATTTTTTTGTTAGGCTTTTCTCCATTTTTTTATTAAATTTATAAATAATTATTATTATAACCATCTAAACATTAACCCTAGGGAAAATCAACTAAGTCCGATTAATTATGTCCAAATCTACCGGATGTGGTCAAAGTCACCTGACTATTTAATTTGATTTAAACGGCCTACTTTAATTTGCGTTTTTGTTTTTAATATAAGTTAAATCTCTAAATGTTAAGTTTTTTCAGAATTGAAAAATTTACTAAATTGATAAATTGGATGACTTAAATATGTTCTTATGTTTATACAATTAAATTGAAAAATATTTTGATATTCATTGATAAGATAATGAAAATTAGCTTTTCTGGCTTTTAAGAAATATTCAAATTATGTCATTTGCGGCATAAAGTAAGAATTTGCCTTTTTTTTTAAAAGATGTCTTTTCAAAAGCTTTTAAAACTTTTTCTAAATTACTAAATATTTACAACTAAAAGCAATTAAATTATCTCTCATAATAATTTGTAGCTCGTATTATTAGTAAAATTATTTAAATTTAAGGCTTAGATAAAGTAGTTTTAAATAAATATTTGAGTAATAGTCAATTTGGAAAAAATACAAAACACTAACTTTACACTAAATAAAAAACAGTTTCTGATTCACAAAACCCCAGTATCAAACAGCCGAATCTTTTTACAAATATATATATATGTATATATATATATATATAAACATATATATATATATATATATATATATATATATATATATATATATATATATATATAAATAAACGTATATATTTTTATATATATATATATATAAACTAATTTACAGTCGTGTGACAATTTATTATGGCCACCTATGAATTTTGAAGTTTAATCTTTTGTTTAAAATTAAGTTTTGACTCATAAAATCAGTGCTTTTTTTTTTGCTTCTGGCAATACTGTCACTTTTGACACTCATTTTTTATGATGTCCTCTTAATTATAATCTTTTTGCTGTACACTTGTTAAGTTTTATTACCAGAGTTTTGAATTTGTTTATTAGGTTATCTTCAAAATATTTATTTAAATCAGTGAAAAATTGTTTCTTGAATATTTTTTTTTATTTTAAAGTAAAAATAATTGTAATTGATTTAATTTTTTTAAGTTATAAGTACCAAAGCAAACTCTTAACTGTCGTACTGAAAAGTGATATTTTAGTTATGGAAAAAAAAAAGACTTGTTACCACAAAAATTGCTGAAATCAGCACTTTTAATGAATACTAATCTTTCTCAAAGAGAAATTGCCAGAAAATATTTCGCGGGTTTCTGTACCGAAATATACACACAAAAATGACTAATGTAGAGAAGTTGTTGCCAAAGAGGGTTGGTAAATGTTGAAAGAAGATAATCTTAACACAACGCGGGAAAAGAGTACTTTCCAAGATTGTTTTAAAAAATAGACATGCTACCAATAATAAAATAAGTAATAAGCTGGAACAATCTGGAGTCAAAACTTCAAAGAGAACGTCGCCTACACAATCTTGGTTGCATTTCGCAACGTCCAGCTAAGAAGCCTAAACTGACAGCAAAAATGTTGCAAAAAAGGCTGGAGTGGGCAAAAAAGTGTAGGAGTTTAAAAGAAGATGATTGGAATTTGGTAAGATTAATTTAGATGTATTTAAAATATACATTTTCTTACACCAAACTTTAAATATTCACTTAACAATCCTTGCACACATGTGTGGCTTTGAAGAATACAATAAGCATAATAAACTAAAGTTAATAAATGAGCAATTAATTAATAGCGATAAATAAATACATAAAAATATCAAGTCAATTAATAAATCTAATAAAACATTATCATCGAAATTTGAAGACCATCATCGTAACATCAGAACTTGTTTTTAAACACGTATGTGTGTGAACATGGAGAAATGAATACAAGTAATGATATGAAATCTGATTTCTTTTTAACAGTGATTGTTTTTCCATCTGGAAATAATAATTCATACATTAGAAATCTGGAAATAATAATTTATACATTAGTGTACATTAGAATGCTTACTAGGTGATCTGCTTCTAATTTTTTTGTTAAACTAAGGGTAACAGTATTAGTTTTTGCTATGACTAGTAACATCTGTCCAACAACATTTGTAAATATAATGAGGTATAATAACATCTATTAATTCATATAATAATTTCATTGATGTTTAATAACATCTGTGCAAAAAGTACATGGATATTACGCATGTAGTTACAATTTTTCAATTGCCTAAGTATAACAACAGATGTTCAACTACGCTTGAGGATTGATGTAATTAAATCTTTTTAATTATATTAAAAATATAAATTTGACGAAAGTGTACAAATGATATAGGACTACACCACAGATGTTGTTGGACAGATGTAGTAATCTTTTACCAAAATCAGCTTATTCAAAAATTGAATCCTCAGAATAATTATGTTTATAAAACAGTTTTTTTGGGCTCACTTTTTAAGAGTTTGGTCCATTTTGTTTTTAGCCAATCTACCTTTTTACCATAAATTGACTTTTTTCTGTTGGTAATATTTTTTTCGAGTTTTGCAGTACTAAAAAACTTTTTCTTTAGCATTAAATGCACTTTAAATTTTTTTTTTTTTTTTTTTTTTTGCAGTTTTGTTGATGATATTTTTTAACCGAGACTCGTACAAATATTTGTTGATGATATTTTTTCTACCTTTCAATTATAGTGAAATCTGTATCACATGTTGAAAAGCTATGACCGTTACAAAAAAGTTTCATACTTATTTTAGTTATTGAATGTTGATCTTTAAACAATAAGTTCAGCAGTGCAAGAACAGCTTTAATATTTCTGTTTTGCTCTCCACAGCTGTTGCTGTACATAGTTAGAGTCTCAATTAATTTCGGGAAAGAAAAAAAAAAATGTTTTTTGCATGTCATAAACAATAACTCCTTGAAAGCCAATACTCAGACGAGTTTGATTGACATTTTTTTTTTTTTTTTTCTTTAACTTTTTCAGCTTTCCATTGATGTAATTCCAACTTGGTTTTCAACGATTTAACTGAAATTTCATTAGTTGATGATTCAATTTTCATATTTATAGAATCACATGTTTTACACGCCTTTTTCTGAGGCAAATTAAAATTTAGGTTAATACTTGTATTAAAAATCTTTCTAAACACAAACAATGAAGCAGGATTGGTTGGCTATTTTCATTCTTACAAACTCTTTTGCATTTTTCATACAGATTTTTTTAAATTAAGATTCGGCGATTGATAATTTTTCAAAGTCTGTAATCTTAAATAATGTGAATTGTATGATAGAGTTTTTTTTATAAAGCTATTGATAAATAAAATAGTCTCAAAATTAGTTTTATTGTAAGACTCGTGTCTCTTTTTTGTTATTTTTTGTTACAAGGTAAGTGTAATGTTACCATCACTTTATATACAACAATAATTTTTAACAAATAAACCCGAAGCGAATCCTAAAGTTTTTTTTAAAATAAATAAGGTTGCGTTAAGTTGGTTTTTTAAAATAAATATGGTTACGTTACGCTTTTTTTAAAATAAATAAGGTTGCGTTAAACAAATAAAAGTTAATTTTAAAAGTTTTTCAACCACAAAAAAACTACTGCTAACATTACTAAATAGACCCTTCATGTAACCAACAAACGTAGAAAAAAATCTAAAATATAGAATAAATAACATTTAAAATTTTGCGCACCAATAAAAAATTATAAAAATTAAAAAATTATAGAATTATGAATTGCATCACAAAAAAAAAACACAACAAAGTTCAAATTTTCCTTAATTTTACTTATAAAAGGTTCTTATTGTAATGACTTAATAAAATAAAATTACAAAGAAACGTTTACATAAAAAAAGCAGGAGCTCAACGAAAATACAGAGACTCGCCGCATTTTTTAAAAAAGACATAAGGGCTTTAAGAACTTTAAGAAGTTTAAAACAAAATAAAATTGTCAAAACTGTTAAGCTTTGTTATCATATAACCTTTATAAACATGTGCAAAGAATGAATAATAAATATTAAGATCCTTATTTTTATCCATTGTCGCTAAAATATACAGACAATATCCGTTAAACATATTGACAATCTCCGTTAATTATACTGACGATCTTTGTTAAGCATAAGGAATTCGAGACAATAAAGACAAAACAAGAATACAACAATCAATAACTCAAATTTTTTTTAAAAATTGGAGAGAACAAGATAATTTTAACCTCTACATGCACGTTTTTGTAGAAAACATTTTTTTATATAATAGCTTTAAGGGTTGGTTTACGTTATATATCTTATAAACATCAGATGGATGTACATTAAAAAACCAGGACCTTAAATATACCAACAATTTCATCTTTTTACTGATTTTTTATTCATAGTAGGGCAGAGCGGGCAAGTTTAGAAATTTTTACAAAATCTAACAGATCTCATAAATGGTGCGATAGATTTACATAACTTTTCACAATTGAAAAGATTATTTAACCTGCTGAAAATTGGTTAAGAAAAAAGTGTACTTCTAAATTTTTTTGAGAAGATAAGGTTTAACATTTACCGAGCTTCTCAACCTATCTAAATGGGGTAAGGTAAGCAACTGTGTGGGGCAAGTCGAACAATAAGACAAATAAATGAGTATGATTTCAAAACTTAGATTAATCATCAGTAAAAATATCGGTAACAGTAGGCGTGTCTATAATTTACAAACTTTTTGTTATATTTGCTTTAATAACATAAGTAAGAGTAGTGGAAAAGTTAAATAGTAAGAAGGTGTTTTTAAAATATAAAGATATTATGATTTCGAGATATTTTAAATAGATTTCGAGATATTTTAAATGCCCAACTTGCCTCTATGCTCAACTAACTCCGCTCTACATTATAAAAATTTTCAAAGCAATCTACTGTAGTATCCTCCTACCTCCTAGTCCACCAATTAATATCTATACAAATCAACGCAACGTACTATGTTTATATGTGTTTAGTAACTATATTTTGAGATGTACACAAAATATTCATTATTAGATATGTAGTTTTGTGAAAAAAATTTTCTCATCATATAAGCTGCTAGAGTAAGTACAATATCATGCTTTTTCTTAGTTTACTCCCAGTTTTATTGCAAAATTGAATGTAAAATTAAGTGAAAAAATGGCAATTTTTCATTTAGTTCTTATCTAAAGCCCCCTTTTTTTTTATCACAAACACACTTGTTTTTTTTTCTAAAGCCAACTTTCAACTCTACTTTTTATTTTTTCTCTTTAAAAAGTTAAAAGTCCAGTACATTGAGCCATACACCAGATTTTTTTACCTTTACTTTTCAATAACTAACAAGCCTGGAATACCTTTACTTTTCAATAACTAACAAGCCTGGAATTTCTTGCAAGTTTAGACTCTTAATTTAGCTCCTTTAGCAAAGACTGATATTGATTAAACATTAACAAAGAATGGGATTGATTAAACTTAATTTTTCAATAAAACGAGAAAGCTATTTGAAAGTAGTACTTTTTTAATTTCATTTACAAGAGCTCTAATTTAGAGTACATCTAAAACTAATCCAATTAAATTAGCATTGTTGACACTTTGCAAGCATCTGTTTTTGTTTTTTTACCAACTTAACAAATAACTTTTTTTCCTCGGTTGTGAGAGTGTTACAGTATTACTTTTTTATTTATTTGTTATTACTTATTTGTCTAAGCATCTGTTTATAGTAACTTTACTTTTAATCGAAAGAAACAAACAATTACTAAAGTCTTTGTAACTTCTTACATTGTTATCTACTTTGCGTACACTTTTTATTAGATTGTCATTACTGTATGCACACTTTTTCTACTTAAACTGCTTCTTTTTCTGTGTATTTTCTGAGCAACTAAGGCATTAGCTTCGCTTAACTTTTTAGTCTGTTTTTTGATATGTGGGGATTTACAGTTCATAGAAAGTGAAGCAAAGCTAAAAACTTAGTGTCGCAAAAGCTAATGCCTTAGTTGCTCAGAAAATACACAGAAAAAGAAGCAGTTTAAGTAGAAAAAGCGTGCATACAGAAATAACAATCTAATAAAAAGTGTACACAAAGTAGATAACAATGTGGGGATTTACGGTCATTGTGATCATTCAAAAAACTGAGCAACAGTTTCATGTTTTAATGTCTCTTTCAATGTTACTAAGTGTGATGATACTGTGTTTTTATTAAATAGAAGAGCTGCTTTCATACTGTGCTTTAATGAATCAATAAACACTGATTGGCACATATCCACTAATTGACATTGTGCTGATCTATAAGTAGTTGTTTTGCTTACTGAAATTGAGAACGGGTACGTCCCAGAATCAGATAACGCAACCTACATAGTGTACGTTATTTTATGTTTCTGAGTCAATCAAGAACGTTATAGGCTGCTTAGAGATATTACACTGTATATTAGGTTGGTTCAGTTCAAACCATTTGTAAAAGCAATGAATCAAACTCTTTCAGACTTTAGTTATATCACCCAAATGGTTCCCAAGTTAAGCGCAAACAAGATAAAAAATTTTTTTTTATACTATAAAAAATATAAAGCGAAATTCAAGATATATTGTATGTTAATTATTTTAAGTTTACAAAAAAAAAAAAAGGTGGGTGGCGGCAAAAATACGATTTTCATATTCTTTTTTAACATGAACAAATCGCTTAAAATCAACAAATTTTAACAAACTTCGAAAAAAAAAAAAAAAAAAAAAAGTTGTAATTTTAAAAGTGTAATTTTAACGAACAATCCCTTGGAAGCATAAATGTCAAGTATTTAACACAAGTTTAATTTTTTAAAAGCTCTGCGGAGTACTTATATATATATATATATATATATATATATATATATATATATATATATACATATATATATATATATATATATATATATATATATATATAAACACACACACACATATACATGTACGTCTATAAAAATAAAAATATATATATATAAAGACTTATTTTTAGAAGTAAATTTGACAGAATCAAGTTTTTCTTCTTGTCACGTGGTCGTACAAAACAACTTGGATGTACTTAGATGACGAAATGGAAATTCTTGAAGAATTATCGCCAGGAGAAGTAGCCTACCGAAAATGAAAGTAGAACTTTAAAAAAGAAAATTCAATCGGGACAATTAGTTAAAATTTTTTATAATGAATTAAATTATAAGCTATAAAAGAGATAAAAACTTGCTTTTGGATCAACATTTAAAAATTTCCTATCTTTTTTATTTTTAAACAGCAAACCACTTGTATTTTCTGCAATCACCTGAAATATATATATATATCTTTATTAACTATGTTGTACCATTATAAACCAAAAATTGCAACCATTTGACATCGAGTGTTAATTCACAAAAATGCAAAAAAAAAAAAAATAAAAAAATAAAAATCATCTTAAATATTAAAAACAAATAACTTCATTTTCATAAAACAAGTGAGCATTTTTATTTATTTATTAAAAACCGCAAACAAAAGAAATTAATATAAATAAATTAAAACTGTAAAACACCTGATAATTTGCCGATGATCGAGAAGTACATACATGAGTGTCCCAATTATAAAAACTAAACAATGCAAATTTAAATTAACAAACACCTCCTTAAATCTATAAATAGAAATTTGTACTAAAAACTTTAGAATATTCAAACTATCTTATAAATAATTATTACTCTTTACCTAACCTCAAATCAGATGGGCGTGGTAGCAACCGCTTTTTTTCAGAAAAATATATTTCAAAATCTTCATTCTGCTTAAAAAGCGAACTTTGATAAAAACAAGGAATTAATTATTAAAAAACGTAAATAGATAATAACAAACCTTCAATCTTTCTGAATAATCTATGTAGCCGGAGATCTCCTGTAAATTTACAATAACTATATTAAATACTGATCAATATTTTCTAGCTGTACTGTTACGCACTTATGTTAACTTTACATTAAGTAAAAATATTTTATTTATAAATTAGGTAAATATGATAGGGGTTTGTTGCTACATAATTTTGATGATACATATTAAGGCTTTTTTAAGTTTAAAGAAAGTTTTTGATAACGGAAACCATTCTCTTTAAAATTTGACTGATTTTATAAATCTGAAACGATTTATAACGTTTGTAAAAATGTTCTTTTTTTAGTTTAAAAGGAAATGTGTTTTACATGCTTTTTTGTTCGCACCATTTAAGTAAAACCTTTTTGAACAAATGCTTTTTTGTTCGCACCATTTAATAGAAAAGTATTCAGGGATAAATAGGGAGCTAAAGTTCTTAGCATGTTTAGAGGCTAGAAGGGAAAAGACTTATTTGAAAGCAATGTATAAGGTAAATCCGACACCCAAAATTAGTTTTTAAACTACTATTTTGATGTAAAAGAAATCAATTATGAAAAATGTGTTTTGAGAGATAAACAATATTATAAACTAACATAAATAAATGCATAAAAAATGCCCATATGTAAACATATACAAAACATACAGTCGTGTTACAATTTATTATGGCCACCCACAATTTTTTACATACTCAAGTTTTAAAGACTATTATCTTAATATTTTTTTGTGATTTACGTACTTACCCTTTTTGGTATAGTTTTGTTTCATTTTTCAGCCATTTCCTGCAATCTTTCATTATGGTTCCAGCAGTGAATAATTCTTTCTATTAAATACACTTTATTTGTAATATTTTCTTTAGATATTTCCTTCCTTAGGAACCCCCAAACATTTTCTATTGGATTTAGATCAGAAGATTTTCATGGCCAATCAAGTAATGGAATATTCTGTTCTGATAGATATTTTTTAATTGATTTAGTTGTATGACATGGTGACCCTCACCTGCATGAAGATTTTTTTTCACCTGACCAAGCCATTCTGCCAATTGTGGCAACAATCTTTGTTCCAGGACTGTTTTATATTGCAATTGATTTATTATTTCCTCAACAATATAGAGCCTCTCCAAAAAGGGAAAATTTTCCAAAAATTATTAAGCATCAACTTTTGTGTATTAAGCACTTAATCACCTATTTTTTCTTAATTCATAATTTTTTTCATAATTCCTATTTTTTAAGTAACAAATTTGAGTAAATTTAACCATGTTTTTTTTTCTGTTTAAGAAAAAACGACTCTCCAATTCTTTGTAATAAATCTAACTAAACTATTCAGGACAACATCTTAAAAAAAAAAAAAAATCAAGCTACATTGACATTTTTGTAATTAAACTTGCCCTAGTAAAATTGTAATAAAGTTTAAAATTACAGGTGTTATGTTCATTTTTAAATATTTTAAGTTGTTTTATTAGATTCCTTGCCTCAAAATATCTAGGTGTATACATTTTCAGCTTTCCATTGCACACAGAACAGAAATAAAGACCATATCCATTTTTTAAAATTGGCAGATTTTTGTTGGTTCAAGGCAAAGTTTGAATAGTCGTATCTTTGAAACTGTTAGGAATTAGATGATGAAATTTTTGGGAATGTTCATAAATTATTAAAATCTTTGAATAGTGTAAAAATCAGCAAACTTAAGATTCCATGCCCTGGTTGTTTACACATAGAATAAAATAAAAATTTGAAATAAAAATCTGAGACTTAGGGTTGCATTTTATTAAAAAAATTGGATGTTTTCACATGGAATCGCCCAGTAGCAAAAAAAACAAAACAAAAAAAAACTCACTGATTTTATGAGTTAACACTTTATTTTAAACCAAAGATTAACTTACATTAATGATTTTTTATTCTTCTTATGAAAAAAAAGAAGATTAAATTTCAAAATGATCAAGATTCATAGGTGGCTATAATAAAATGTCACACGACTGTATGTAAGCAAACATATACAAAATTAAAAAAAAAAACAACAAGAAAAAATATATAGATTTAAACAATAAGCAAATAAAAAACTTGTGATAAACTTATAACATTATAGAATTACTGACAGCCTTACAGAAATTTGGCATTCAAGAGAGAAACATTTCAAACATTTCACAACTTAAATTTTTCCAGGCATCTTAAAAAAGATTTGTATTAGTTGGGCACATTATGAGTAACCTTTTGTGCAGCTCATCCTATAGTTTCTCTATGAGGTTTATATCAGGTGATTTTGGAGGCCAAGTCATGATTTTAAGTACTTTCTGCTTTTCTTTTGTCTTCCAATAATTTAAACATAGTTTAGAAGTGTGCTTAGGGTCATTGTTTTGTTGAAAGACAAACACTTTACCGATATCACAAATAACAGATGGCACAGCATCATGAATCAAAATACTATGGTACATTTTTTTATACATTGTTAGTTTGAATTGAACTAAATCATCAACTTTTCCTCCTCCAAAACCACCTCAAATTGTGACATTACCACCATTGTGTTTCAATGAATATCTCAAACAAATATCATAAACACATTCGCTTACCAATTGTTGGATATACATCTTCTGGTTCCAAATAATTAAAACTTTAATTCATTAATTCATTAAATTGACTCAATGTCTACGATTTATGATCTCTTGCCCACTTAAGGGGTTTTCTTTTAACTACATGCCGCAAAAAAGATTTTTGATGCACTATTCAATCCAACTCTGTTTAGTCATCTCTTGACCATATCAACTGATATTGAAACTTCTTTATTCAATTCTTCTTTAATCATATTAACTATTGAAACTTCTTTATTCAATTCTTCTTTAATCATATTAACTATTGAAACTTCTTTATTAAATTCTTCTTTAATTATACTAACTATTGAAACTTCTTTATTCAATTCTTCTTTAATCATATTAACTATTGAAACTTCTTTATTCAATTCTTCTTTAACCATATCAACTGATATTGAAACTTCTTTGTTCAATTCTTCTTTAATCATAGTGACTGAAAGTTGTCTATTACATTTGCTTGTAACTACAATATGTTTATGTTCTATCTTTGCATCTCAGTCTTCCTGTGAGTTTTTATAGTAGAATTTGTCCCCCGTTGTTTTTAATCATGCTAACGTGTATATTACACTTGAATTTATATAATCTTTACAGAATATAGTCTTTACAGAATATAATCTTTACAGAAAAGACCGATGTGATGGTAGAAGAAGAAGCAATGTATATCTTTATGTTGATATTTCGATTGATTCATATGAAACTAGTGAAGGCTGCTTTGGTTTAAACAAAATTGAACAAGTATAGATTGTCGTGTATTTTGGTAAAGAAAAATATCTAATTGGTTTTCTGTATAAGTTAAGTGATTTTACTGATATGGATGATTTTGATTCAGTTTTTTTATTTTTATTTTATGTCATCAGTCATTTTTTATGGTCAGGTTTATCCTGCTATTGGTAACATGTAACCCAGTACAATCTGCTTCATGTCCTGCTGCCTTGTAGGATATGCCTTTTTAGACAAAGGCTAGGAGATGCAAACTCCGACATAAAACACCCCCTGCCTTGAAGCTCTTGGTTGAGTAAAGGCTAGAGATGGTGTCTCGATAAAAATACTCATCTTGGGCAGATGTTACATGCATCCAGCTGCTGTCTTGTAGAAGGCCTCCTAGGCAAAGACTTAAGGGGTAAACAGATTCTATCTGTTGACCAGCCTCGCACCCCTTCGTCATCTATTAGGCTGGCGCAGATGTATTTTTAATACATTGTTTCCAGTTTAGGATGTTGAACGCTGGATCTTCTTGACTCGATTCATGGGTTTTGCTTGTGTCTCTGTTTTTATGACTAGGCAACTCATTTTATTATCTCCAAATGAGGGTACAGCTCTAAAACTCAGTTTTATGGTTCTGAGGCCGGCTAGTAGTCAGGTTTCCCGAACTCTGTGGTAGCTCTCAGAGAGGCTGATTCCATCAAGAGCTGAAAAATATCAGAGTACTAACAGTGCCATGTTGCGCATGGATGGTGTTCCTGTTTGTACTTTTGGTGTGCATTGCCAAGGCCACATTGGGGCCCTTTGTTACGGCTTAGGGTTTATTAGTAGAAATGAGGCAATTGCTTGAGCTATAGAACAGTGTACTGAGTACTATCAATGTTTCGAGTCAAGTTCTTTAACAAATTTAAAAATGAATAAAGTAACAAAAACTATAAAACACAAAAAACCACAGTCATCGCCAAGTTCGCTAAACCTATCATTCACCAATATTCGTGGTCTTCGAAGTAACTTTTCTTCTGTTGAGTCATATCTCTTGCAAAGTTCACCAGACCTGCTTGCTCTTTGTGAGACTAATTTGAGTTCAGCTGTCTCATCTTGTGATCTTAGTGTTGATGGTTATTTTCCTTTAATTCGTAAAGACTCCAATAGTCACATGCTTGGCCTGGGCATTTACATTCGTAAGAATTCACCCATTTGTTGGGAAACTAGGTTTGAATCCACAGACTACTCTTTTATGTGCTTTCGTTTAGCACCACTTCACTCTATCACCTTTCTCTTTGTTCTATATCGCTCTCCCTCATCCCAAGACTGCACTTTCCTTGATGTTATTTCTGATTATATTGACCAAGCCCTCATTCTTTATCCATTAGCCAATATTGTTGTTGTCGGTGACTTTAATGTTCATCACACTGAATGGCTTGGCTCTAGTGTCAGTGACTCTGCAGGCTTTAAGGCCCACAACATTTGTCTTTCTCAATCCCTAACTCAAATAGTCAACTTTCCAACTCGCTTTCCAGACAACCCGAATCATTTACCTTCTCTACTCGACTTATGTCTTGTTTCTGATCCTAGTCAGTGTTCAGTTTCTTCACACTCACCCTTAGGTGCGTCCGATCATGGTTTGGTCTCTCTAAAACTATTATCTCATTCTTCTTTACCATAAGAATCCCCCTATCATCGTACATCTTACAACTACCTTAAAGCTGACTGGGACTCTTTTCGTGACTTTCTTTGTGATGGCCCCTGGGTAGAAATCTTTCGTCTCCCTGTTGACAAATGTGCTTCTTACATAACTTCGTGGATTCAGGCTGGCATGGAATCCTTTATTCCCTCTCGACGATTCCAGGTCAAGCCTCCTCTTCTCCATGGTTTTCCTCACATTGTGCTGCTGCAATTGCCAATCGAAACCATTACTTCCATATCTATCAGCAAAACAATTCTCCAGAAAACAGACGCCTCTTTATTACTGCTAGGAACCATTGTAAAAAGGTTTTGTCTAACGCCAAAACCCGCTATTCTCAGATCATGAAATCTTGTATTTCATCACAAAAATTAGGCTCTCGTGACTTCTGGAAAATCTTTAATAGTATCAATAATAAGGGCAAGCCTGTAATTCCACCTCTTTTGTATGGTTCAGACTTTGTCACCTCACCTAAAGACAAAGCTGAATTGTTTGCCAAGAACTTTTCATCAATATCATCTCTTGATGCCACTAGTTGTGTTCTACTTGATATAGCCGTCAAACAGGTTGATCCATTGCTCGACATTCGTATCACTCCAGCTTCTGTATCTAAAGTGATTTCCCGCTTAGACTCTTCTACAGCTTGCGGCCCGGACAACATACCTGTTATAGTCTTGCAGAAGTGTTCTCCTAAGCTGTCGTCTATCTTTTCAAAACTATTCAACAAGTGCTTATCAGAGTCTTGTTTTCCAGCCTGCTGGAAAGCAGCATCTGTTATCCCTATCTTTAAAAATTCTGGAGAGCAATCTGACTCATCTAACTACTGTCCCATTAGTCTTCTTCCTATCATAAGCAAGGTTTTTGAATCTTTAATTGACAAACACTTAATCTCTCATCTCGAATCTCATAACCTACTTTCTGATCATCAGTATGGATTTTGATCTTCTTGTTCTACGGCTGATTTGCTATCAGTAATAACCGATAGGTTTTATCGCGCATTAGATAAAGGTGGAGAGGTTAAGGCCATTGCTCTTGACATTTCTAAAGCGTTTGATAAAGTTTGGCATGCTGGTCTCCTCCATAAGCTTTCTTCTTATGGTGTATCTGGAAACATCTTTAAGATTATTGAATCCTTCCTTTCCAATCGTAGTATAAAAGTTGTCCTTGATGGGCAGCACTCTTCTTCTTATTCTGTAACCTCAGGGGTTCCTCAAGTTTCAATCCTTGGCCCTATACTCTTTTTAATTTACATTAACGATCTTCCAGATATTCTCACATCTAAGGTAGCATTGTTCGCTGATGATGCTACCATTTATTCTTGTCACGATAAGAAGCCAACTCCCTCTGATTGCTTGCAGGGGGCATCTGAGCTCGAAAAGGATCTCACTTCTGCTACAGCATGGAGCTTGCAGTGGCTGGTGAACTTTAATTTAGATAAAACTCAATTTTTTTTAGCTAATGGTTATCGCAATAATTTAGATCTTCCTATATTTATGAACGGTAATGTACTCGATGAGTCTCCTACCCTTCATCTTCTAGGATTAACTCTTACTTCTGATCTTTCTTGGAAACCTTATATCAAATCCGTTACAAAATTAACATCTGCTAAAGTTGCTTCTCTTTATCGAGCTCGTCACTTTTATACTCTGGATTCTATTCTCTATCTCTATAAATCTCAAATCCGGCCTTGTATGGAATACTGTTGCCATATCTGGGGCGGATCTTCTAATGATGCCCTTTCTCTTTTAGACAAGGTGCAAAAACGCATTGTAAACATAGTTAAACCTGCTCTTGCAGCCAACCTTCAACCTCTGTCACATCGTCGTAATGTTGCTTCTCTTTCTCTTTTCTACAAATACTATAATGGGCACTGCTCTAAAGAGCTAGCGTCTCTTGTGCCACCTACTAAAATTCATTCTCGTGTTACTTGTCATTCAATTAAGTCTCATCCTTTTTCTGTTACTGTTCCTAAGTGCTCCAAAAACTCTTATTCGTCTAGTTTTTTTCCTCGAACATCAGTTCTTTGGAATTCGCTTCCTTCATCTTGCTTTCCTGATTCATATAATTTGCAATTATCGTCTGTCAATCGTTATCTTGCTCTACAATCTTCATCTTTTCTCTTCCAGTAACTTCCAACACTAATTAGTGGTTGCTTGCAACCTTGTTGGAAGCGAAGATAATTAAAAAAAAAAAAAAAAAAATTTTCATATAAATTTATATATTTTTTATATTATGTCTATTTGTTAATTTATAACACAAGTACAATTCTTCAGATAAAAATTTGAATTTTCGCATGTAGCTCAATTGAATATTATTCTTGTTTTCTATTTTGAATCATGTTCTAACAACTCTTTCTAAAAAAAAAAAATTATTACAAATTGGTGTGTGTAAATAAGGAATTATAATTAATGACATATAAAAAAATCCTCTACAATATATTTAATAATATAATCAGTAAAAGAACTTGTTTTTTAAATAGATATTTTTATTGTATAACAATATCTGTTTGTAATACTTGCATAAGAAATTAACTAAATTCAAACAACTTTTAAGCAACTTACCTATTCGCGGATTTGAAGTCGCAACCTGGTTTTTAGCCCAACAATGCATCAACTGGGCCACATGTTCACATGAGAAAGCAACAAGTTTTGCTACAATATTGAGTTGACTAAAGACCATTTTTATTGCATCAATTCTATTGCCTTGAATCCAAATTAACACCTATATCCTGTATACACTGTTCAACTTAGTAAGTGCACATTGGTATGGTGCATATGTAAGGTGGTTTTAAAAATGCAAACTGTTTCTGGTAGACTTTTTTTCAAATAAGTTACTTGTACTAGGGTGTGTGAAATTAGTAGAAAATCACTTTTTTTTTATTTTACACTGTATTTCATCAATAAAGACTCATCAGAAAATCATTTTTTCTGGACTTTCTGATGAGTCTTTTATGATGAAACACAATGTAAAATGAAAAAAAAATTAGGAAAATATGTTAACGCTCGGAAAATGTTAACGTATAAGGTCGGCAATAATTTGCCGACCTCAACAAAAAGAGGTCAGCATCAGGTCAGCAAATACAAAGGTCTTACTATAAAACATCAAAATGAGGTCGGCAAAAGCGAATTTTTTTTGCCGACTACAAACATGTTTAGGTTGACAGTTAGGTCGGCATTGCCGAATGCCGCCCTAATTCCAAGGGTTATATATATATATATATAATTATTATTAAAATATATTAAAATAATTATTATTAAAATATATTAAAATAATAATTAAAAATAATTAACAAATATATATGTATATATATATGTGTGTGTGTGTGTGTATATATATATATATATATATATATATATATATATATATATATATATATATATATATATATACACACACACACACACACACACATATATATACATATATATTTGTTAATTATTTTTAATTATTATTTTAATATATTTTAATAATAATTATTTTAATATATTTTAATAATAATTATATATATATATATATATATATATATATATATATATATATATATATATATATATATACACACACACACATATATATATATATATATACATATATATACATCAATTATTTTTAATTATTTTAATACATTTTAATAATAATTTAAAATAATTAATATATATATATAATAAAAATTGTAGTCTAATTTACTTACTTACTACGGCTAAAAATAACTAATTATTTTTAGCCCTAGTAAGTAAGTAAATGAGAATACAATATTCTAAATTTGAATCATGGCTAAAAACATATTATTTATCATTGTTTAATATATATTATTATATATATTAAACTATGCTGAAACCATGAAGTTTTATTTAGTAAGAGTTACTTCCTAAAGGGTAAACCTAATACAAACTATAAAGGATAAATTTAATACAAACTAGAATACATTAGAAAATTAAATAAAAAATAAAACAAAACATACTTGGCCTCTTGAATTTTTATCTCTAATAAAAATAATTGTCTAAAAAACAAAAGTAATGATATATTATAAATTTGTATATGAAAAATAATACAGAAAATAAAAAGACAATAAAAAACTAACAGTTAGTTTCCCATTTCTATTTAATTCTTCTCTTACTGCAAGTGCATTTAAAAATGGATCAACAAAATTTTTTCCAAAGCTTGCTAAAACTCTAAAAAAAAATCCAAAACTATAAAAGCAAAACCTTATAACAAACAAATGACTCATACTTAATTAAACTATATTGCTTGTTCAAATTTTTATATCCAATCAGATAACCTTGTAACTAACCTAAATTAACCAAACTAATGTCCTCCACAAATTATCAGATCTGATTTTATTAAAGGATTCCCAACTGAAAGGTTTATTTTATTTTATTTTTATTTTAGATTATTTTAGACAAGTTTATTTTATAAATAAGCATTAGTAGTTATTATTAAGTTTGGAGTTTATTAAACCAAAACAAATTATTTATTGAGATTTTTAACAAAAAACAATTGCCGTTTCGCCATTATACTACCAATTTACACAATCAAATAGGGTTTTCCCTTATCAAAAGTCTACAGTTCAACTATAGAGCTTTGACAAAATAAAAATTGTAATAAAACGAAGAATATCGCTTTTCTACTTTGTTTTATCTTTATTTTCATTTACTGTAAAATCAAATTTATCAGCATTATTTTTTAGCATTATTTATCAGCATTATTTTTTAAGTAAATCCAAAAAAATAAAATAGCATTTTCGGTTTTAAGATCATACTACCAGTACTTGTTTTGTACATTTGTAAGGATAAATTTTAAAGTTACATATCTTATATTTGATTTGTGTAATACTTATAAGTTTTATTTTCCAAACAAAATAAATATAAGCTAGACTTTTAAAGAGTACTTTATTGATCGTATTACTTTTATTTGGGTTATTATACATTTTATAGAAGGTTATACAGTGCAGATTTATAACCTCATCTGCATAGAAGCTTTAAAAGCAGCTGTCAAAGATTGTTGATCAAATATTTGGGACTCTAAACTGTAGGATAAAATAAAGACTCCGGGGTAAACTAAAGACTCTAGGGTAAACAGGTCTTATTAAAAATATAATAAAATACTTATCAATAAGATTGTATTAAAAAAATTAATTTTAAATTTTATTTCTACATTTAATTTCTAAAATAAATAATAAAAAACACATAAATCTAACTTTTGAGTGTTACGCTTTGATAAAATACTGGCTTCTGCTGCTAGTTTTCGAGCAATAAACTCTTCCCGCTTCAAAACCTAAAATATAATTCTCCTTAGATACCAACACTCTAACAACAGTGTTCAGAAAAATGAAAAAAGTACACTTTATTTGCAAGCTACTTTTCAAGATGTAATTGAGAACATAAATATTGTAATCAGGAAATCATTATGTAATTGAAAAACTTAACATTTGAATTAAGAAATTATAATATCTATGCTTGTACTTTTTTTATAAAAAATTGGTCAATAAACATTCAATTAATAATAGCATGTTCAGTGTTGTATGTCAATACACTATTACCTAAAAGTCTGTCATTAAATTTAATTTGTGAACATTTATTTCACAAAATACATTTACATCCAGTGCAAAAATCCAGGAACAACCAGATCCTACCTGTCCAAACTATCAGCATGCAGTATATCCAACCAAAAAAGTTAAAAGTAATAATACGCTTTATCTTCATCAAATGACAGAAGAGGAGATGGTAAATGCGTTGAGCTACATGAAAACTTTAGCTCAAACTTTAAATATATTGAATAGAGATGCCACGATTAGTGATTTTGCCAAATACCAAATACTTGGTTAAAGCATCAAATATTTGGCTGCCGCATATTCGGCAACACTTAGTTATTTTGTAGGTTTCGACCAGCTTCGTTGAAGTGTATATATTAACTAGGCTGTAGATGTATTTGTTTCATTTGCAAGTAGGTAGTGTCACAACACGCATTATTTTTTGATTGTTACATGTAGTTATGTATAAATATATCATAAAATGTATTATATAATAACCAGTTCAAGTATATCTTGTATTTCTGAGTTAGTTTTAGAAGTTGCTATATATAGATATAGCACAAAGAACTCCAAACTTATTAAAAATAATATCTTCACAACCTAAACTAAAAGTGCGGTCTAACTTTAACAAAATGAAAATTATATGGTTTACTTTATTGATGCACATTCCATCTTAAAAAAGAAAAAAAAGTTGGTGTTTAACTGAATGAGGTATTTTTTAATAAGATTGTTTAAATGTAATCTCAATTTCATAATTTTTTGTAAATAAATATTTTATACTTTATTTATTATTCATGGTGTTTCCAGGTAATCTATTTAAATACCCAATTATCTGATTTCTCAATCAAATTTATAAAAAAATGATGATTCTGATTGAAATCTAACTGCTTTTTTTTCAGCTACTATGTGAATATAAGCGAATGAATTAAGCTACACCTCACTCAAATTGAGCAGTTGCCTCTAAGCTATTAAGTTGTACAAATTTAGAATATACTATCTATATATTAACTATATTTACGTTTTTTAAATATAAAAAACTACATATTTTGTAATTAAAATAATGAGTTTCTAATTACATATATTCATCTTACAATTACATATATTCATCTTACAATTACATATATTCATCTTACAATTACATATATTCATCTTACAATTACATCTTACATTTCCTAATTACAATATGCATGTTCTGAATTATCTTTGGTTTCTTAATTATAATTTATGTAGTCTCAAATACAAATTATGTTTCTTAACTACAAAATCAGTTAACTAAAACTTGCTTACATCTTAAATTTCTTAATTTTAATTTTCATATTCTTAATTATTTCTTTAAAAGGTGTATCTCATGAGTATAAGAAAAAGGCGTATCTCATGAGTATAAGAAAAAGGTGTATTTCATGAGCATAATAAAAAGGTGTATCTCATGAGTATATTAAAAAGGTGTATCTCATGAGTATAATAAAAAGGTGTATCTCATGAGTTGAATAAAAAGGTGTATCTTATGAGTATAATAAAAAGTAACCTAAGACCATTATAAATAAATTATAATTATAAAAAATTTAAAAAAATTAATTTTTGGTGTCAATC